CAAAGTGGTAGCAGTAAACCCTAGCAAGTTCAGTGGTAATATAAACAAAGTGGTGGCAGTAACCCTAGCAAGTTCAGTGGTAATATAAACAAAGTGGTAGCAGTAAACCCTAGCAAGTTCAGTGGTAATATAAACAGTGGTAGCAGTAAACCCTAGCAAGTTAAGTGGTAATATAAACAAAGTGGTAGCAGTAAACCCTAGCAAGTTCAGTGGTAATATAAACAAAGTCGTAGCAGTAAACCCTAGCAAGTTCAGTGGTAATATAAACAAAGTGGTAGCAGTAAACCCTAGCAAGTTCAGTGGTAATATAAAGGAAACGGTCAAAATTGCACAAAAACTCCGTAAATAATTAATGGAAACAACCTGACGGTAATATAATCTACAACGTTTCAAAGGAATTTGATCTAATAATGAGAATCAAATTGACCGAGATTGTATCTACCACTTACCTTTGAAGAGGCTTCTGGTTATTTACATGTACTAAGAGGATGTTGTCTTGAGAGTCATTTGTTGATGGTCGCCATCTGTCACAGCAAAGATATCAATTATTGAATCAATGGTAGAAAATATCCAAAATATTCAGCAGAAAGCATACTTGATCAATAATTACCTCTACCTCATCAATAATCAAAATGAACATAAAGTTTGAAGGTCAGAGCAAACTATTTCAGATGCATTCAAAAACACTCCCAGCTAGTGTATCCATAAATTCATTTCAAAATGTCTTGTACATAATTATTTGTTGTAGAATCTCATCTGAAAGTTTACATAAATGCTTGAATACTTTTGAAATAATTATACAGAATGGATCTGCATCCAATTTTGTTTTCACAAAGATCTTTTTCTCAAATATAAAGCTAGATCAACACCTACTGCCTGCGTTTACGATTGTTCTGTGATGCTAGGGATGTGGTGCTGCCATACTGTTCCTGAGACCCAAAGTTCTGGTTAACATAAACATTCCCTCTCCCCCGGCCTCCTCGTCCCCGCGATGTTCCTCGGCCACGGCCTCTGCCTCGGCCTCTCCCTCTGTATTGTGTGGAATTTGAAGTATATTGAGTCTGTGAAATTAAAGATAGACATTTATAAATTATGTTCAAGATTTAACACCTTTGTACAGTAATAGTAACTCAAACTCTTCGTTCTAGTAAAAACAAACTTTTGCTGGGCATTGTACATGTTCATTGTATAATGTACATTTCATTGTGACATTGTGATTCAGTGTTTTTCAGTACTGTGTAAACCTTTCCACTTGCCCCATGTCTGGGGCTGGTAGATTTTATGTCATGTCTAGTGAAAATTTTCAAAATTACTATGAAATAAAGGTTGGGCTAGTGGAATTTTTCAACATAGGAACATGCTAGTACTTCAAATATGACATCGTTTAACATTTCTATAAGTCAAAATGATACAAATGAATCAATAATTTCACAGCACTGAAATTGAAAGAATATGAATTTTCGGGTATAATTTCTATCTAAATCACATGGATGTGATCGCGGGCTTGAGAAAAAGGAGGAAATCAACCCAGAGAGAGAAAAAAAGAAGAAAATTATAGAAGAAGAGGAAGAACTACATGCCTGGAAGTCTTTTTGAGATATGTACATGAACCTCTAAAGGGACCTCATGATCATTCAGATTGATATTTCTCGCACCTCAGACAGAGATATCCCACGTCATACACCATTTCTATTTCACCTAATCTGTCTTGCACCTTTACGTGAAATTTTGTGGAATTTTTACACTGCAATGTATTCATCCTCGCGTTAACTGCTTGAAATTGACAATCTGCATTATAAATGTACCAGTTGTTTTGTTGTTATATGTATAGTTTTGATGTTGTTAGATGTTTGATGTTGTAGATAAAATATAATCTACAGTGTTAAATACGTTGTCATCTATGTAAGAATGGACTACATTTTTACGCGGAAGCATTCAAATGTAGTTTAAGTAGGGAAGAGGTCATTATTATTTGAGGCCCCAAACGGGGTACATGAAGTTTTTAGCAAAATTGCATTTTTTTTCGAACTAAACGGTGCGAGATTGGTTTTTACCTGTAACTGTCTGAGCGAGATCGGGTTATCTCAATCTCGGGCTAAGATTCTGTAACATCCCAACCTCAGCTTACGCCTCAGTTGGGATTTTGTTACAGAAGCTTAACCCTCGACTAAGATAACCCGATCTCTCTCAGTTACAGGTAATAGATTTTATTAGTCTCATATGTGGCCCCCCTTGGCCATCTATGCACATGTTTGTCAAGTTTGGTTAGTCCAGCACTTATAGTTTCAAAGAAACTTAACTTAAATGCAAAAAAAAAAAGGTGATAGATATGCTGACAAAGTCAATGGACCATGAAAGGTCGGGTGCATCCAGCATTTGATGCATGGGTTGAGATGTACTAGCTAAGATGCATCTATGGTCCAGGTTTGGTTGGTGTAGCACTTATACTTTCAATGACTAATTTAAACACAACAAGAGGCCCATGAGCCTTAACAGTCACCTGATATATTTATACAGAGTTGATTTTGTTTTTAACACGAACAGAAATATTATTCAAAGTGACAAAAAAAACAATAAAACCACCTTTAATATTCAATATCTAGCATACAGATTTTAAGACTAAAAAGTATTTGAAACTAGCACCTCTGATTCTAAACAAGGAAAATATTTTAGCACACTGACTCCTATGGACCCCACCCTAGCTACAGCCCTTGGGGGTAGGGCTGGCTTAAATTTTCATAGTATCAAACTGTCAACTCAGGGTTATAATTCCAATCAAGTTATTTTAAAACATGTAATATTCAAAGTATCATTTGCCATTATAAACCATAATAAATTTTGCCTCTCTCCTTCCCTAGGGGGAAACGTGAGACCCTAGGGTCATGAACCTTAAGACCCTTCCATCTATGAAGAGTGTTTGATTCTACAATATCTGGGTCTTGAGAAGCAGATTTTTGAAATTTCAGTCAATTCGACCCTTTTTGGACCCACCCATCACCCCCGGGGGGTCAGTCAGGGCTAGTATGCGCATACCATCAAACTGCTACCCAATACTTATAATACTAACCTAAATTGAATTGCCTCCTATGGCAATTAAACAAATGTTAGTCCAAAATGTGGTTTCCCTATATAAACTATGGTAAAGTTTACCCCTCCCCAGGGGGAAACGTGAGACCCAAGGGTCATGAAATTCACAATTTTGGTGAAGCACCTTAAGACCCTTCTATCTATGAAGAGTATTTGATTCTACCATATCTGGGTCTTGAGAAGAAGATTTTTGAAATTTTAGTCAATTTGACCCTTTTTTGTCCCGCCCCTGGGGGCTGGGGACCAAAACGGCCACCGTTTTTGTTGACCTTTGGTCATGGAAGGTTTCTGCAAAATTTCATTGAAATTGGTTCAGGGGTTTTGGAGAAGAAGTCGAAAATGTAAATTGTTTACTGACGCACGCAAATGACGCCGGACAAAAGGTGATCGTAATAGGTCACTTGAGACTTTGTCTCAGGTGACCTAAAAATTTAATGTTGACACTGCCGGCGGAAACGCAACACCTTAGTCTCGCTTCTGCTACTTTGTGGCGGTGAGCCGAAAACTATGGTAATGCATATATATATGTAGCAGTGATATGAAAAGTAATTAAATTTATTGCTGATCCTAAATCTAGAGATATGACATGGGTACCTGTATTCCTCTTCTTGTATTAACAGTATTTTGTCTAGAGGATTTCTGCTGCAGTTGTATTTTAGCTAATGTTTCTTTGGCGTTTTGGAGTGCCTGTAATGCTTTAGTCCTCCTCTGTTGTAATGTCTGATTTACTCCCTGTCTAGCACCGCCTGTCACATTCTGTCGTAGGTCCTGATAGAAAAATTAAGTTAATTAACCACACATTTATTTAGGATAACTATAAGGAACTGTGCAAATTGATTTACTTCAAAACAAATACACTGATGAAACACAAAATAGTCGGTTCATGCTATTCTTTAAGGCATATTGCAACAGTAATTTATTTACTTGTGAGTCTATATAGAATGAGATACTTACATTTTATAAATATGACTCATCATTTAAACTTACAAAATCAATTAATTTTACATAGAATGAACCATTCCACTGCTATTCAAACTTTGATTGGAAATGATTCACCTTGTGTAAAAGGTAGATAAAACGTAATTGCAATATGTATAAAAATAATATGTCATGTATATCAGCATTACACAAGTATAAAATCAGTCCTTTTTATTAAATAAATTTTAGAACAACATATTCCTTGGATTAGGAATATAAAGCATTGAATTGAGAAAATAAAGCTGTTTTTGCTGGGGAATTAGATCAGTACTTATTTTGCTGTAAAACTAGGCAAAACAACCCACTTGATATTGACATTGAGATAACATTTATTGTTTTTATGACAATAATATAAAACTAAAATTTTAGCCGCTTGCATTGTTAAACATATTTGCGAAATGAGACACATACCGATACACTCCTGTTCAGTGGGCTGATTCCTTTAGGATTTCCTCCTTGACCTCTCTTTTGACCTCTACCTCTGCCTCTTCCACGGGATCCACTTGCATTTGTTTTCAACTGTTTGAACTTGTTTTGACCTCTGCCCCTGAAATTGGTCTGACCTCCTCTAGTATTTCCTAATTTACCACGGTTGCCACGAGTTGAGGTTTGACCACCACGCCCACGTGCAGCACCTCTTCCTCTTCCAACAGAGATGCCTCTCCCACCTAACACACCACGACCACGCACACCCTGGACTCCTCGAGCTCGTCCACTGCCTCTTCCCCTGCTTCTCTGTTCTTTTCTATTTAACTTGATGATGTCATCTGGATAATTAAATAAACAATCATTTAATTATTATTTATACACTTACAGGGGTGTAAAAATCCACTTGCCCAAAGCCCGGGACAACCCCTTTCAGATCCGGGCAAGTGCAATTAATTGACTCACTTGCCCTGGGCAAGACAGTACTTTTTCATCTGCATCTATTATTACAAATGCAGTGAAAGCTGTTTTGCACCATGTTCAAAAATTCTGACTTCTTGTTTTGTTGATTTTATGATTCCTAAAAGATTTGATAAGCAACTAGAACTGTCGGACATTCGGTGACCGACATCACATGTTTACATACCCATATCACCCAATAGACAACTGCAAGGGAAATAACTCAAGTGTCGTTAATGAGAATCATGCGACAGCCATTGTTTTGTATTATAATGATATCACTAATTCGGTGCTTATATCTACCACATCATATCATCATTATAGCTTTCAATTTTAGAAATTGAAGACTGACATCATGACTGTACTGCAATGCTTTGAAGTCAAAAGCGCTGACGTGCTGCCATTACAATTACACAAAGACCAATGCCGACCAAGTGGTCGTTTCTACTACGTTGCCGCTTTGACTTACAGGAACACACTTCGTTGTTACACAGACCTAGAAGACTGTAGGACGATGTCGCTACACCGGTGCTGCACGACCATATTACGCTTCTCATACGATTTGTGGCGATGTCTTTATAAATCGGGGTTCCAGCATTTCTTCAGTTTTTTCAATTCCCAACTTCGAAGATGAACGGACCCGACGGCTTGAAATAGTTGCCGACAATGTTTTAATTACGACCACAGAGATCTCACCATGATGCTATCACGCTGCTTGTACGATAATGACGTTCCTACTACGTTCTTAATAAGAATTTGCCCCGCTTTTTGTTGGCCACGACCCTGCTCACTTATTTTGTGCATGTAAGAAATAAGCATGGGAAGAGCATACAGCTCCCGATCTAGGAAATCACACCCCGACCAAACCACGCTCATAGAAATCCTCCCACGTTTGGGTCACTTTCCCATCGTAGAAGAAGCGGTGTCTAACTCCAAGTGTGAACGGGTATAAAAGGCAGCCACAGCTATTGTATTTTCATTTCAATTTGTCTATGAAGAGTTGGACATTGTCTACCTGGCAAGAGGGACGGTTTTCATAAGACATGTAAGAGGCCTACAGTAATTACCCTACCTCAAACAGCAAAACTTATTACGGTTTTTATCAAGTGTACAGTAAACAAGTCGTGAAATTACAGTAACAACTTCAAGCTCCCAAATGGAGTAAATATACATGTATGTATTTGATTTGTTACGCGTTCAGAGGAATTCATACATATTAGAGCCAGAAGATGTTCTTACCAAGAGACAAATCAATCTTCTCGACCTCCATCTTTGCTGCAAAGTTGATGTTTTGCTAAAAACTTGCAAGATGGCGCCATGCAACAGATGGCGCTTTGATCAATATTGACTTCCGTTTCAATAAACGGGTGAGGCTACGGATATTTATTTTGTTAAGCAGTGTTATCTTAAGAAGCAGTCGTTATCATTAACTGCATCCCTCGGCAACTTTCAATCCGAGGTGAAATTGAAAATGACATTGACTTTAGCAGAGACGTATAATACACCTCTGACTTAAGTAAATACTGGATACATTTAAGTGATTTTTTTATATAGATATATATCAAAAGTAACAAAATTGATCAAACAGATGAATGCCACTTGCACATGTAAGACTTAGAAGTCTGCAAGCTGTGACAGCACCGACAGCTGTGATCGAACACACGTTTCCACAGACGGTATTGTCTGTCTAACTTATACCTCTTTTGCAATGAAACACGACCATTGGTAATGTATCGTCCACGTGTCAACAGAGACGTGTATGATACGTCTCTGGTGTCAACAAGGAGTGATTTTAGATAACTACTAAATTAAAACTGTGGATAGTGGAGATCGATTTCTGGTCTTTTGCAAATATTTACAACTCTGACAATCTTAATTATCACTTGATATGCAGGGACCTGAGAATTTGTTTCAGCTGTATTTGAGATCAAATTTCGGTAAAAGTTTTATCTAAATCCCTAAAACGTGTAAAATTAATCTGAACACCTCAGTTAATAAGTTTAGACCCAAATATAGTTGTACACATTCCCAAGTCCCTGTAGATCTCAATTAGCTGTTCAGTTGACTGGACAGGACATTCACACGAAAAAAGCGACCAGAAAATTTAAACTCAATAACTAGTTAACCAAACGGGAAAAGCTACTTGTGTGAGGTTTGAAAGAAAATCATGACCGCGACCAGGATCACTAATTTGTTCATTTTCACGTATCATGAGCCAATACATATAGAGTAAAAGTGGAAAATGAGCTTTGCATTGCGAACATTTTGTTATCTTTTCTCAAAAGAGTAACATGTGTAGGATAATAAACCAAAGGTCAGTTCACTATTCACCAGTTTTGAAAACAGAAGAGTCCATAAAAACTCGACCAATATCAGCCTGCGTATCAGCAATACGTTTTTTTTTGTATATGCGATACGACATAATTGCTCTAACCCACATCATCCCCCGCCGTATCACACCCCAAAACCCGTATCAGCCCGCAAAACCCACATCACACCCCTTTTGGAAAAAAAATCGTTTTTCATTATTTCAAAAATCAAAATACATCATAAGATAGTAGTTTTTATTAGTAAGTATGTAATAAACAGAATAAAACCCGCCTTTTTCCATATCACACCCAGTATCAACCCTCGACCAATATCAGCCCTCGGGCCTTCGGCCCTTGGGCTGATATTGCAGTCTCGGGGTGATACTGGGTGTGATATGGAAAAAGGCATGTATTATTCTCTATGTAACGTATACATGTTACCTTGCCAGCCAGAGATACAAATCAAATTTTACAGCATCTTCAATCGAAATGGTATGTTATTTTTACCTATTTTGATTAACTACTATTATTTGTATATTTGAGAAGAAAAATCATTATGGTATGTTGCATTAAAACAAGGATATAATTTGTTCTTGTAACGTATCTGTTCACACAATTTGAACAAGTTACTTTATAACAAACTTTTATATTTAAAATAACTTCACAAAAGATCCAGGCGTAATTAAACATCAAGGTGGCTTTAACTTATACTGCAAAAAGTTTGTACGCTAGCGTACATGTCACTTTTTTCAATCGGTACTCCCATTCAAAACTTAAACAGATACGTTACCATTCCAACAGATATACGTTACACATTATATTGGTCAAGTGTTACACTCATGCTACTTAACATTATCACTAAACCAAACTTTAAATCGATGTTATCATCACTTGTGATAACATATATGCACCTATCTCAAATGTTCACATAAACAAGTCGATAGTTTCTGGGATAATAATGCACCAAAACAGAAACGTGACCAAAGTGAACATATACGTTACATGTTTTCCAATCGATTTGATCCATTATCCTCACATATCCCACCCTTTTCTTTCATAGCTTTTCATTAAGTAATCCTTTAAAATCCGTTTATAGTAATTCAATTTATTTGGACATCTACAATAACGTACACAAATTAACCTTTATTATATATGCATTCATGCCTCTGGATTTCCTAAGATTTGAAGATATTTCCCTTGAAAACTAAGCCAGCTGGTCCAAGTACAATTTGTAAAAGGTTTAATTACATTGTTCCCATCAAAATCCCACGAAACAAAACAAGAATCTTGATTATCTTTGTTAGAAGCTGCGATTATATAACCACTTACAACGTATCTGTTTATAACGTACTGGTCGGCAAAACTGTTTACGTCAGCAAAATTAAATTCACTCGGTATTCGCTTTCAACACATTGTACAACAACGTTATACTTCAGTTTTTATCGTGTAAGTTATTGAAAGTTTCCCACGACAATGAGTACAGTTTTATTAGACAAATACAGATCACGTATCTGTTGAAATTTTAACGGACAAAACCATGAATACCGAGTTTCATGCAGGGTGCTTGATATATGCTTACGGTCGATGTCGATGGGTTTACATGCGATATAAGATACCTTTAGTCAATACACCAATATTTTTTAAACTTGTATTCACCGATACTAAATGCCTGTATTATGGGTGTTTTGTTTAGTAACGTATCTGGCAGGACATTTTGCGGCAGTAAATAGTCGCAAGAAAAAAGTATTTAGCTTAAATTATTGATATTGAATTAATTAAGTTTTGTTTAGACATAAGTAAACAAAAAATATGAAGGAAAACATATGTATTTTAACTAAACTGAAAAAATGCAAAGCTTTTTGTATCAGAAAAGTGACGCAACAACGATGTTTCAAGTATATTGGCATGTTCATGTACACTTTATAAAAACTTTACCGTACTTTTTCATTATTTTGTTTGTTTGTTTTTGGAAAACATATCAATGTTGAAGCAGTGAACTAAAATTTTGACGTATAGGCTGTATTATAGGTGGTGGAAGGATCACGCGACAAGATTTTCGGTTAATGGCGCATGATGAGTGAGAACGCGCGAGTTAAGTATATAGTTTGCCATATGATGTAACTTGATCCGTGTAACACACTGACATCTTCACATGCTCGTATACACATACAAGTCGACATTGACTTTCGTTTTGCTGTATTATACGAATTTTTTTTGAAAAATCAATTTGGGGAAGGTTTGGCCCATGCAACACATGGGGAGTCGTGAATTTGGCGCGAAAAATAATCTGCCGTTGCTTGTTTTATGACATCATAATCATGCTGAGATTTCTAACGCCGGCGGATCTTCCCCGAACTTGCCACTCTAGGGTCGGGATCTCTGTTCATATAGAATCACGATGGTGTACGTTACTGCCGACGGTGTCAGACGTTACGTTCAAGGTGCATCTCGACCATCTTTAAACTTGATGGATAACATTAAGGTATAATAGCCGGGTTTTTTTCAGATGTCTAATAAAATACTTGTCAGTGATATATTAATTACGTGATTTATGAGACAAGACTACTTTAATAAGCTTGGAAACGGTCTAGTAGACCATCTCAATATTGTAGGCCTAAAGTCATCGTTGAACTTGTAATGACGCTGTCTTCAATAGACAAGGTCATTTATATTAATGGAATTGAATTCATCATTAAACTGCTCACACTATATTAAATATTGGCCGGGGTAAATTAAATCATCATCTTCACGCAATCGACGCTGTGATTAGCTTGTCAGGATCAACAGTATAATAGACGAATTGTTTAGATGTACCGATTTTAATCTGCAGTCTGACCTACTGCTAGAAAAGGGAACAGAAAAGAAGGAAAGAAAAATAATAGTGTGTTCAGTGGGCATTGTCGGATCCAGGATTTCTTTAAATCTTCTTAGATGAGGGGGAGTGGTTGATGTTAATATGAAAATCCATCTAGAACAGTGGAGGCTTTAAGTTAAATATATAATAACTGGTACAGCAAAACTTCAGAGACCCGTTGGTTTTTCACTGCGGTAAACTGAGTTACCTCCCTTTGATTGGTTAATGCAGTTTTACATGCGTGCGTGTTGCTTGTTGTAAGTATTTAATTCTTTAAACCCTCCATGGTCATTTGCTTATATGTATTAAGAAATACTTAAGATACAGAGCTATCAAACACTTATAACTGAAAACATACAACTCTGCCGTTTTTCATCTTTTAGGATTGTTCTTGTTTACCTTGCTAGTTTCACTCGTCCTTGCAGTCTGGCCGGTATATATTGGCAGTACAACTGACGATCGCGTAATAAACGAATACGTTCCAAGGAAAAATAAGATACAGTTGTTAGAATTAATCTTATAATTTAGGCAGGTTTATGCAAGGTACAGTCAGACTGGACAGTCTCATATGCTACTTTGATATTGGTTTGAAAACTTTTTGTTATTTATAAGGCCACATAAGGGTCTATGAGCCGGTAGACCCCTCCTAACCCAGAGATAACGAATTTTCACCATGGCAATCTTTTATTACTTTTTTTTTCTGCAAAGTTATAAATCACTTTGTGAGTTTGAGTTGTTCTTGAATACTACCAAAATAGCCCCTACCGGACATATTTTCGGCAATGATATCCAATCAGAAAGAGTGTTACAAATTAGAAGGGTGACAATAAACTATATATCTATACTCTATAGGATGTCGTCTATTTTGACAGAATACTGCATGTTCCCGGTCGAGAAACTTTAAATAGTAAGGTGTTAGTTCACTTCTACATTTTTTAGGACTGTACTTCAGTATTATATTTGTCGAGGATTATTTAGTATTTATATGTATTAACTAAGGGATGTATTTTTAAATTGTTTTATTGTTTGCAAACATAAATCAGCTATTTATAGAGACAATTTTGGTCTGTTCATACATATATTTATTCTATCCGAACTTTAGACTTTTTCACTATTGACACTACCAATCCTAATACCGAACTGAAAGGACGCCTTCGATCACATATCATTAGAGTTGGGTTTTTCCCCCATAAAAATCAACAACCGAACAGCGATATCAAAATATGGTTGTAAACCATTTAGGAGTATGTTTTGTGGTAAGCACAACGAAGATCAAAATGAAATAAATTCAGGATGAAATCATGAAAATGGCCGAGTTCCGGATTAAAAATATCTTATTTTAGTTCGATGTCAATATTTCCCAGACTGTAGACATTCCTATACGAACAAGCTGTGCCCCTCTTCTGGTCGACATGTTTTCGTTTTCAGATACTGCTATTAATTGAAGAGCATATCAGTACTGGTACATGAACAAAAATCTAGCAAGGACTCATCCTCCGTACTCCAATACACTCACTTATGCTCTCTCTCATACATGATAGTAACCCCTTGTGTATCAAGGTGGGCCTTCAATTTCACATCAAGATATATCAACGATGCACCGTCTTTTAATAACAAAGACATATGCTGTTTGCGTCGGTTGTATATATATACCCTCACGAGTTTGAAATTAAGGACGTTACAGATATTTACTTCAGCTGTTTTCCTCAACCTTTCCTACGTTGTACGTTAATCGGGACGATTTCGATGTTCTGATAGCGAAGTTTCCCTTTCTTGTTTGTAATATGCTTGGTTTCTCACCCTACGGTGATTACATATCGCAGTTGATTCGGTTTCAAGTAGTTGCTTCGGACATCATGGATTCCGTGATGCATGGCGACTGCCGAAGGACAAACTCACATACAAAACAGGATTTTCAGAGATGCATAGATATAAAGACTATGGACACGTTTTGTGTAATTTCTTTGTGTGATATGAAGGTAGAGGTTTTCGGATGTGCTCATACGTGAACGTTGTTGTTTTGTTTGTTGTCTCTATCACGTTCTCGCGCATCCTCGATACTCCAGGGTTATGCTTACTTTTGCTTTTTCCACCCCTGGATTATGTCATGGCAAAAATCGTAGGCAAGAAAACAAGTTTGATCCTTTGATGCACATCAAAAGAATCTCTCGGTCGCGTAACGGTAAAATTGAATGGCTTTGAAGTCGGGTGTCCAGTTTGCGATAGGTCGTTTTTTTAACCTAACACCAATCAAATACTTAGCCGCGTGCCTTCAATTTTGCTATGACATATTACAGGGGTGCACAGAGCAAAAGTAGGCGTAACCTCTGGAGTATCGAGGATGTTCTCGCTACGAGGACGCGACATTACTTTGATTTGATCTCGGTTGACATGGCGGGCATCCTCGATATCAAGGGGTTATGCTCACTTTCGCTCTCTGCAATCCTGGAATATGTCATAGCAAAATCGAAGGCTCAGTGAACATCGTCTTGTGGATGAGACGAGAAGACTAGTTTGATCCTTTGATGTACATTAAAAGAATTTCGCGGTCTCGTAAAGGTAAAACTTATTGGCTTTAAAGTCGGGCGTCGTTCCTCTGTTATCTTCAAAGAACAAGTAGCAGCCTAGTGATTGGTCTGGGTTTTTTTTACCTGCCACCAATCAAATAGCTATAGTTGCGTGCCTTCAATTTTGCTATGACATGTTCCAGTGGTGCACAGAGCAAAAGTGGGCGTAACCCCTGGAGTATCGAGGATGATTCTCACTACGAGGATGTGACATCACTTTGATTTGACCTCGGTTTACATGGCGGGGTTCGTCGATGAAGTAGAAGACACTTACCCATCCGGATGATTGGTCTTTTTCTCCTTTTAATATTTCAAGGGTTTTGTAAATCTTTCGGTTGTTTATATTTCACCGAGTCTTATCGATGTTTAGTTCAAATTACGATATTGTTGACACTTCGGTACTCTATTGTTGTTTATATGCATGAACAGTATATGTATAATTAGGGCTGTGGTGGGTTATTTCTTCATTACATCACGAAATGCTCTTAGTCATGTATGGTACAAATACTCGCATACATACTTAAATTTACTTAAAAAATGTCACCTTTTAATTTACAAGCTGTCAATAAAACAGAATTATGTACACTGGATGGCGTGGGACCAGCCTCAGCCAAAAGGATGACGGATATTAAACTTAGATTTTGGTTTGGTTTGCTTGTGTTTTACGTCCTATTAACAGCTACGGTCATTTAAGGACGTGCCATGTTTTGGTGGTGAATTAAAGCCGGAGTTCCCGGGGAATAAAACCGCCGAACTACGGCCAGGAGCTGGCCCCACGTAGGTCTCAAACACGCGACCCATTGGTAGAGAGCTTGTGGTAGCAGAATATCAGACGCCTTAACCACTTGGCCACCGCGGCCTTTTTTTTTAGAGAAACCGAATACCCTTCCGAGATTAGGTATGGGCGTATGGCAGGGATGACTCTAATGGGGGGTTGCTGGTGTTGAAGTGACCATATCACATACACCACGGTCACCACAGACATCAACGGACAAACGAAGCTGTCTTGTACATAACAAAAACATGCAGCTTCAAGGGTAAGTCTGTAAAATGACCGTGGACAAGAAATAGAGGAAGATTCTATTGAAATCAGAGGGATATTAGTACGTGGCTCGAGATGCTAGCCATCACGATATAACGTCTAACCCGGTTGTTATGCTGCTTACTTCACCCAGTGAAGTTACTTAAATGATAAAAATGTACTTAAGTGAAACAAGACATAATGTAAAAAAACCATATAATGGCAAATATCATTTGAAAAGTTAAATCCTCTGTCCTTTAACCAAACCACATTTAAATCGTCTATAGCCAGCCCTTTCTTTATCCTCAATCTAGGCCACATTTTCTCTGACCCCAAATAGTTAGGTTTCTAGTAGCTGTCACACGATCTATTTTAGGGTGACTGTACCGTATCTTCAGGTGTAGTGTATTGCATATATATATACACAATACTATCAATGGATTATTTATTTTAAAGATTCTTGAGCCAGAACAAAACAATAAAACACAAAACAAACAATCGAATGATTTTAGAAGCTATATTGCATACAGCTTTAGTCCTTGTCACCATAAAACAACTTACATACAATGTAATATATTCAAATACGACATTGGCTGTAAAAACACTGTATTCTGTTTAGAAAATGAAACACCTTTCTCGTCAGATAGCTAATATCACTGGATAAGTAAAGGATTTCTAAAGACCGATTATCCACAGGTTAAAGTGTTATGAAAGGAACACACCTTCCCCTTTATTAATTACATATGTGTATACAGTAATCGGGGTGAAGTAGGCGCCCAGGGTATTTCGAGGGTGTTGAGATACATCTCACCCAAACGTGAGTGAATGTTTCTTTTTCACTTACCCTATTTACCTCGTCATAAATATAATGCAATGTTGACGTGACGGGTAGTCAATGTAATATTGACCTGACGTCCATGCATTGATGACATGGCGTCATGTATATTATTTGTTTTACCGGGGAAGCCCTCGTCTCAACTCTACGATGAGACTATTATTCTAACCGAGGGTGTAGAATTTGGTCCAGAACCGAGACTTTGCTGAGGTTGTGACACCAAATTCTGCATCTGATGGTAGAATTGTCATATGCCACATACCTACATAGAAACACCTGTCCAGGGTAAGAGAAAAAATGATTCAAATGACCACTAGCTCCATTATCAAAATGGTTGGACTCCAGAAAGACTGTATTACTTACTTATGTCCGAAACTCTATTTACATTTTTTTCTACATTTTGCCAATGAAGACTCTGCCATGCATCTCTGGCAAAGACATGTGAAATACCAGATACGAAGTTTATTACCCCTCCCCCCCCCCCCCCAAAAAAAACCCCAACCCATAACAACATTTGGTTTATGCTATAGATTAATTGAGACAGATCAAACTTATGTGTTTGGGGATTTGTTTTGTTTTGAGAGCCATTTTTCACTACTGGTTTATGTAAACCAACCTTTGAGCAACCACGGTCTGGATTCACCGTCATATCAACACATTATAATGACAAACACAAGCAATGTCATACATTTTAAAACAGATAATCAAAGCACAAAGGTTCAGAAAACATTTCGGTATAAAGAAAGTCATAAGATGATAAAAATGAGGAAAACCTCATTATACAGAATAGCACATTATATCAATGTTACTTACACGATACAGGTAATACACAGATATTAGTAAGGTTAGATCGGCAGTACAAATAGTAAGTATCTCACAAACTCTACCAACACAGGATCGAGAGATGTTCCCTTTTATATCAATTTTTATAACAACTGGTCCTGATCTTTGGAATGTGTTTTCACTCTCTTAATGTCATTTCACATCCCGAAAAATAAATTAAGATAGTTAAATAATTATGTACATGATTGTGAATATCAAATATCTGTCTATTGAATGCGCAAAAACATGATATGGAGGTTTGGAAATATGTCATGTCAAAGTTTTACTTTTTACACAAACAATTTTGTGTAAAAAGTAAAACTTTGGTATTAGAGGTTTGTGTATTTAAATCTTCGAATAACCTATTCGTGCATATTAGTTTGGCATACATTTGTGTGGATAAACATTGGACACATGTTGAATTTGACTAACTCTCCTCTATCAATCAATGCGGAATTGTAAACCTAACAATCAATGACACGACCTTGGTCTAGATATAACTTATTTAAAGCATGAAGTTGACCTAGTTATATTTTGATTCCAGCATGATTCTAACTAGATTTTGATTTTAGCATGAAGCTGACCTAGTTCTCACTTGTTTATTGATTTAAGCATGATGCTGACAAAGATTTTGATTTTAGCATGATTTAAGCTGACCTAGTTCTCACTTATTTATATCATGAAACTGACCTGGTTTTAGCATATATTTAGAATTATGATGATCTAGTTATTGACCTTGTACAGCGTTTTTACTGACTTAATTGTAATACATTGATAAGGACATTTGAAGGTCATTTGACCTTTTAGAATTAACATATTAGGGAACAAAACCATACAGATAAACAACGCGAAGGGAATACATGTTCCAGTTTCCCGGGACATATTCAAAGCCTAAATATGTACATATCACAACGTCATATAAATGGAGATTGCAAGCGCCCGTCAACACTGGCCAGTCCGTATTAGATAAGTTCCGTAGACTCCTCTGACTGTAGGGTCTTTAGATCTTGTTATGCTAGAGGCAAGCCAAAGTTGCTCTGTAACCCTAAGCCATATAACTGGAGACTCCTTGTATTATCATTCAAGCAAATATCCAGGTCGCCATGGCGGGTGTTATAGTCATACACCATTACTCTCCCTCTTTGTTTGTCTCTGTATTCTACAGTCTGAAACAAAAGGAAACATAGCACTTAAGAACCGGTTTAATTTGTATAGAAAAATTATTTTTTAATAGTGGTCAACTAAGCTCTTCTTTTCTATACAGTACAACAAATCTGACAATGACACAATACGTTGCAGGGAAAATTCAATTGTTTTGCTTGATGCTATTTGATTTGCAAAAATCTATTTTATCTGATGATCGTAATGTATGTACATACAAATACCATCGGTATTCTGTATCAAGTTTACTTATAGAACTCAATTCATAGTAATATGTCGTGCTAGCAAAACCGGTTATCAATAACGATTCCAATAACGGATATTAACACTTTTGGTAGTTGTCCTGGGATCCGTACCAAGAAGGTTTAAGGCAGGTATTGCAACAGAGGCATACGGACAAGGGAGTCGATGGCAGTTGATATAATACAGACTTCAGAACCGAAAGGAAAAAATGATACCAAATATATATTTTAGCCAAAGGATGATAACTGAATAATGAGAAAATAACTTAAAAGTCAAAGAAAGGTTATAACGTGAAAGTCAAACAGAAAACATGTGCTGATGAAAAGCGACTAGAATATTTTACGAATATAATGGATACTATTATTGTCTCATTGCTATGTATACTGTAGTATGCTAGCATATTGTTAACACTGATGTATACTGAAGGTAACATCTGTTGTCTATCTGACTGGCCCACGCACAATACAGATCAGGAAGGGTGGTTTGCCTGATGTTGATATCAAGTTACCGTTGATGTTATATTTTCTATTACTCTTTAACAGAAACTATTGTTGTATCCTTTTTGTATACCGCGTGCTACATAAGTGTTCATATTCATTTTTGAATAATTCTTCCTGAAGCATTGTTTATATTTTAACCTATAACCCTGTTATAGAATGATATACCACTGTTATATGATGATATAACCATGTTATAGGATGATATAACACTGCTATAGGATGATATAACCCTGTTATAGGATGATATAACCCTGCTATAGGATGATATAACCCTGTTATAGGACGATATAACCCTGCTATAGGATGATATAACCCTGTTATAGGATGATAAAACCCTGTGATAGGATGATATAACCCTGTTATAGGATGATATAACCCTGTTATATGATGATATAACCCTGTTATAGGATGATAAAACCATGTTATAGGATGATATAACACTGTTATAGGATGATATAACCCTGTTATAGGAAGATATAACCCTGTTATAGGAAGATATAACCCTGTTATAGGATGATATAACCCTGTTATAGGATGATATAACCCTGTTATAGGATGAAATAAACTTGTTATAGGAAGATATAACCCTGTTATAGGATGATATCACCATGTTATAGGATGATATAACCCTGTTATAGGATGATATAACAGGGTTATATCATCATATAGCAGGGTTTTATCATCCTATAACAGGGGTATATCATCCTATAACAGTGTTATATCTTCCTATAACCCTGTTATAGGATGTTATAACCCTGTTATAGGACGATATCACCATGTTATAGGATGATATAACCCTGTTATAGTAAGATATAACCCTGTTATAGGATGTTATAACCCTGTTATAGGATGAAATAAACTTGTTATAGGAAGATATATATAGAGTATGACATTCTACATACATTCTACATTCTCTAGATATCTTTCGTTTTAGACGCAGAGTAGCAGAGTACAGCAGGCATTGAAACTAAAATAAATATTACGAAGTTATACTCATCCTTGTAAACACAACACAACAAATACAAACACTTACACATTCACAATCACGAATTACTTGTTAATTTTCAAAGGAACGTTTGTTTTTTTATAAACAGGAAGTTTGGTAATGTTATATTGCATGGTGTTGAGAAGAGATCGGGCTCTTTCTACCAGGAGTAAGATTTCCAACCATGACATCTTACAATCTACGTTTGTCAGGCAACCTATCTTTCGCACAGCTCTATGGAAACGCTGCATTGCTTATATCACAAACACTGTTAACTTCAAAAGACTTTTTTTTTTCATTTTCGTGAAATGTCCTAAAGGCAGATTTTCTGTAAATCATCTAATGTTTGAAGTCAAATGGTGATTTCTTAATATAAATAACTAAGCATTACTATTTCAATTACTAGGTTATGTGAATCCTGACTTTTAATCTGAATTCATTACATCTACTGTATTACACATCTAATTATTATTAAAGATTTTTTCTTAAAGTTGCATACCTGATTCTTTTCCTCAACGAGCCATGATTCTTGTTTTTGGGGACAGCAACAGCAACAGCATAGCATCTGAAATACTATATCCAAAAATGATAGTATGCATGTCACCGATTTTTGTGATGCTATGATATAAGTTTTGAAATGTTTCTATAGTTTAATACACTACAGCCGATTTCAATAAACAAAGCAACCCCCCCCCCCCCCCCCCAAAAAAAGTTAAGCAATAATAACTATTTTAAATTTGCTGTTATGGAAGATATTTTTTTTCAAATTTACCGACGCGAAAAACGATTTTAACATTTTTAAAACTCACCTTTCTCGAAATTTGTATTTTATTTCATTTGTTTCTTCAAAGTTTGATAAACTTTAATCCGCACTTTCTTTAGTTAAGAAATATAGCACTACTGTTAAGTCAATGTCTACTGGGTGAATTTGAGTTAATAAATAGGGACACTTGAGGAAGATATAAATATTATTTATATACTTGCTGTAAAATATTTCCGGCTTTAATCTTAATTTGACCCCAAACCAAGACTACTGATTAAATCAGAAAACGGTCAAATGATTTTAGTCATAAGTCATTGATTTAAACGTACATTGTATTTAAACTTATCGATCAAATTTTTATCCAACAATGGAATCAGTCGTATCATGGTCAACTTCAAACTTTGGTTTTGTCAATGTTGACCGTGTATTCATAAATCGTTGATAAATAACGCATTCTCATATAATAAAGCAGTAAACAAAAACACTTTTGGATATATTATATATAGTTAGATAATAACAAGCTTGGTGATATAATAAAACGTTAACTACGAAATGTTTGGTTATATTGCCTAGAATATTAACAATTTAAACCTGGTAATATTTAATAATACCTTAAACAAGAAAAACCTGATGATATAAAAAAAAACATTTATAAAGAACACTTGGTGATAAGAAAACATTAACAAGGAACACCTGGTGATATAGTAAACAATTTACAAGGAACACCTGATGATATAAAAACATTTACAAGGAACACCTTGTGATATAAAAACATTTACAAGGAACACATGGCGATATAAAAAAACATTTACAAGGAACATCTGGTGATATAAAAACATTTACAAGGAACACCTGGTAATATATTAAACAATTTACAAGGAACACCTAATGATATAAATACATTTACAAGGAACACCTGGTGATAAAAAAAAAACATATTCAAGGAAGACCTGGTTATATGATACACCATTTTCAATTAACAATTGTACAAACCATTTATTTACAAGGTACACATTTTGTGATTAATCGTTTACATGGAAGACTTGGTGATATAAAAAACCATTTACAGGAACACCTCTAGTGATCTTATACACAATTTGTTTACAAGGAACACCTGGTGATATTGTTAACCATTTACACGGAACACCTGGTGATATTGTTAACCATTTACAAGGAACACCTGGTGATATTGTAAACCATTTACAAGGAACACCTCTAGTGATCTTATGAACAATTTGTTTGCATGGAACACCTGGTGATATTGTTAACCATTTGCAGGGACCACCTGGTGATATTGTTAACCATTTACAAGGTACATCTGGTGATATTGTTAACCATATACAAGGAACACCTGGTGATATTGTTAACCATTTACAAGGAACACCTGGTGATATTGTTAACCATTTACAAGGTACACCTGGTGATATTGTAAACCATTTACAAGGAACACCTGGTGTTATTGTTAACCATTTGCAAGGAACACCTGGTGATATTGTTAACCATTTACAAGGAACACCTGGTGATATTGTTAACCATTTGCAAGGAACACCTGGTGATATTGTGAACCATTTACAAGGAACACCTGGTGATATTGTTAACCATTTGCAAGGAACACCTGATGATATTGTTAACCATTTACAAGGAACGACTGGTGATATGTAAACCATTTACAAGGAACACCTGGTGATATTGTTAACCATTTACAAGGAACACCTGGTGATATTGTGAACTATTTACAAGGAACACCTTGTGATATAAAAATATTTACAAGGAACACCTCTAGTGATCTTATTAACAATATATTAACAAGGAAGACGTAGTGATTTTATAAACCATTTACAAGGAACGACTGGTGATATGTAAACCATTTACAAGGAACACCTGGTGATTTTGTTAACCATTTATAAGGAACACTTGGTGATTTTGTTAACCATTTACGCTGAACAGGGACCAATTGATGATATATATTGAAATTTTGATTCAATTTTAATTTGGTGATATACATTATCATACACGTTCCAAATAATATTGTTATCTCCGTCGTTTTTATAAATAGGTATCATATCTTAGACTAAATGATGTTTGTGTTCTTAACGGTGTGTTCAAAACTGCCTGTTTTTCAGTTTACATGTATATAAATATTATATAGCATAGTGTATGTGATGGATATACTTAAATAACATTTCATCGCTGAATTCTGTCACATGCGAATCACCTATAGGGTCCCCATCACTTTGACCTAGGTACAAAAATGTACCTTTAAAGCACGATAAAACCCATACACAGTGTTATTAACACGAACTACTGTAGGTGTACACACGGGTGAGCTGTTTGTGTGAAGGTCATATGTGACAATATATTACGACCTTATCGTTTCCCCTCACAGCATGTAGCATGAGATATGGTGTTCAGTACTTTACAACACACACATATACCCGCCTAGTTGTAAACAATACTGACTCTTATTATATACATATGACTAGCAACAAATACGGAGAAACCCGGGTTAAAGAATGAAAAAAATGTAGTGGTTTATTAAAAAACTTCTGTTTTGTTATTTATTATTGATCTACATACACAAGAGAACTTATAACACTTTTAAGATGCATATATAAAGCCAGGATTGTTATTTTGAATGTGAGTGTGCAGAGCATTGAACGAGGCAAAAGCATGAGGGGGCTATGAACTCTTATTGGTTACTTTATGTGATAAATGTAATACATTTATATATATCAATCGTATAAAGACTTGTCTTTTAGATATATATAGATAAATATCAGCAGGGGAATACAGATGATAATCACTAATATCTATAAACGATATAATACAATATATTTACTCTAAATCTAGGGAGAAACATAACAAACTATTTATCAGACTTGCTATGATATCTCAAAGTGAAAATTGTAATAAAGCTTACGTTTGGCTAAACATTGTTTATCTTCCTTTTGTGTTACTTACCTGTGTGAAAGGGTAGGTAGTTCTTCATCGCGAAAGTCCGTGTATCTATACCTGAGGTGTATAAGAGAATGACCTGGAGCTGGCCATGACATACTTAGCATCGCTGTTGAGGTATAGATAGGTATCTAATATATTGTATGTACGCTGTACCCATTATTCACAATCATACACGGTCCCGCTGCTATCAATAAAGGATGCTTTTGAAATTTCCATTTTATTGCAAATGTATTCTGCTTGTATATTCGATGTACATACATTTACAATATATTGAACCTGTTCAAATGACTAATGCTAACATGACTAAAACTATGTGTAATATTCCCATACTTCTCAATTAGCTGGATCAGCTTACATCGACCTCGACAATACATGAAAACTAATGCAAAATCTTTTACAAATGAAGATTATGTCACATCCTAGATGAATCAATCAATGCAATATATGAGACAACTAGAATGTCGACGGAAATACGACCTATGATGTCACAATTAATATGCATAACTTGCATGTCGTCAGATAAACAATCTCTGAGGTAACAATTAATGTACACCACTAGAATGTCGTGAGATACACGGTCTGTGAGGTAACAATTAATGTACACTAGAATGTCGTTAGATACACGGTCTGAGAGGTCACAATTAATGTACACCACTATACTGTCGTCAGATACACGGTCTGTGAGGTCACAATTAATGTACACTAAAATGTCGTCAGATACATGGCCTGTGAGGTAACAATTAATGTACACCACTAGAATGTCGTCAGATACACGGTCTGTGAGGTAACAATTAATGTACAACACTATACTGTCGTCAGATATATGGTCTGTGAGGTAACAATTAATGTACACCACTAGAATGTCGTCAGATACACGGTCTGTGAGGTAACAATTAATGTACACTAGAATGTCGTCAGATACATGGCCGGTGAGGTAACAATTAATGTACACCACTAGAATGTCGACAGATACACGGCCTGTGTGGTAACAATTAATGTACACCACTATAATGTCGTCAGATACATGGCCTGTGAGGTAACAATTAATGTACACCACTA